TGTAATCTCATATGTATGTTCATATATTTTTTTAAAATAAAATAGAGTTTAAAATTATCTAAATATGTTAATAACTAATGTAAATATATTAATTAATTTACCATGTGTCAAATATAATTTAATAGATGAAATATAACCAACCAATAAATTAAATTTTATTTATAAAAATGAATTTTTTAAATATGAAGAATATTTAAAATATAATAATTTTAATCATTTGGTGGTGAGGTGGGAGTGATTTTGATTTCGATACCATGCATTCAACACCCAAAAATTCTCGCTCTAGGTCAAAGTCGAATCTATAAAAATAGAGTCGACTTTATGTGGAATATCTATGTAATCTCATATGTATGTTCACATATTTTTTTAAATAAAATAGAGTTTAAAATTATCTAAATATGTTAATAACTAATGTAAATATATTAATTAATTTGCCATGTGTCAAATAAAATTTAATAGATGAAATATAATCAACTAATAAATTAAATTTTATTTATAAAAATGAATTTTTTAAATATTAAGAATTATTTAAAATATAATAATTTTAATCATTTGGTGGTGAGGTGGGAGTGATTTTGATTTCGATACCATGCGTTCAATGCCCAAAAATTCTCGCTCCAGGTCAAAGTCAAATCTATAAAAATAGAGTCGACTTTTTGGTATTAAAGAGTTGAATCTAAAATAATAAAGTTGACTTTCAAGCTTTCAAGAATCGACTATAGATGGTCAAAATTCGACTCTCAAATTCTAAAGAGTTGTGAACATCCTACTGTAGGTTAGAGTCGACTCTATAAATAGAGAGTCGACTCTTATAACTAAAGAATTAACTCTTTGTAGAGAAGAGTCGACTCTTATTTTAAAAAGTTTACTATTCACCAAAATTATAATAACAGTATGTGAAATATTTATGTAATCTCATATGTATGTTCATATATATTTTTTTAAATAAAATAGAGTTTAAAATTATCTAAATATGTTAATAACTAATGTAAATATATTAATTAATTTACCATGTGTCAAATAAAATTTAATAGATGAAATATAACCAACTAATAAATTAAATTTTATTTATAAAAATGAATTTTTTAAA